CTGTAGTGTACATTAGACAAAAATGTCTATTTTATTTTTTGTTACTGCACTCTGTTACTTTGATTTTCTTGGTGACGTTGTTGTTCTATATTCAAATTAAAAGTCAACTTAATATGAGTAATGCAAGTAGAAACAATCAACAAATTGACCAAATCATATTTTATGTATATTCCCACTCTGAACGTTAAATCAAATTATGCAAACCTAAGCGGTTCACACGGTCCAACGTGGTCGGCTGATTTTTGACACAGGTATGTATGAGTGTATGTATGCTCTAGTCCTTTGCGATCAAAGCTTTGCTAAGCTTGCATTGATATTAGTAGGAAGTAGTGTTGACGAGACGACAGAATTAAGGTTTGCGCTGTGTTTAAATTCAATACTTAAGCAGTGCTCATCTATATGTCTTCCAATGAGAGCTAATACTTGTCTTCGTTCAATAAACACAAACAAGTGTCGCACTCATGTTTATATATTTGTGATAAAGTATAGATAACGTATATTTTCTATACCCCACTACTAGCGGACTACTTTAGTGAGCATATTGCCTTTTTGGTTAAGAAACTTTTATATCCGATGTATTCAGAACCTTATCTCGCTTTACCTCGCAATGTATGGTAATTAGCACTATCTAAGTGACGGTTTAAGTAAGCATTATCGAGGACAAGTTGTTGCACATCCAAAGCTCATTCTTTAAGCTTTGTCGATGGCAGGCATTTGGTACTGCGCATGAATGCAGGTATGAGAGTTGTATTGTATTCTATTCCAGTATTCTGACTAAGTCATCGTGTGGTTTTCAACAATTAAGAGTAAGATCGTACGCAACGATCGGCCGACTGCAAGTGTTGCTTTTCGTTAAATCAGGAGATATTCCCTATCCCTATAATACGGCGATGGTCAAGGAGAAGTGAAGCAAGGAATAGGGAACGAGGGGCGGCGGCCTATTGGGCATCTGTTATGTATGATTTGGAATAGTCAATAGTTACGTGAAGGTTTGGCTCTTCATTTCAAAGACGACATGCTGCTCTCTGGTGTCTCGACAATGGCCTCATGCCTCGGGGAAAAAAACTAGCTTTAATAGATTGAAACAAAGTCAACTCATGTTCCTTGCCTCGTCTATTAAAAGACCTTATGAAAGGTAAGCACAATTTTTGATTCTTTATGACGAAAATAGGTGAACTGTTGTATTATGCCATGCAGCTTAGGATATTTAAAGGTCTATGGAGAGTAAAGTTCTGGTTTCCTTTTTCGTTTTGATTTTCGTGTTGTACTAGTTTTTTTTTTGTCATTTTTATCTCCTAAAGTCAAATCGTTCCTAATTGCAAACATGCCAAAGCAGACTTGGGTAAATGAAATAAGAATTGTATCAAATTTTGCTAAATTTTTGCTTTTATTCACTTATTACGTTATTTTGAAATTTATATTGTTTCGTCTAGAATCGCATGTAGCAGAGACTTTACGGAAGCTGAGCTCTTTAGCGTATGTAAGTTAACGTATATGAGAAATACTTGAACCTGAAAAGCGAATCTCTTTATAAGTTTATTAAACTTCGACTATCAATAATGTTTTTACTGTTTTCTGCAAAATGAATTTGCTTAAGACGGACCATGAAACAATTACGCTCGCATAGTTCAGATATCGTGCGTAGGTCAAGGATAATTATAGATTATAAGCACTCGAATCCGTATCTTTGCAAAATGTAACATACAAAACTAGTACAAGTTTAATAGGTAGGCGATGTGTATAAAAGTCTAAAAGATCTATTCGCAGAGCGAGTAAATTATTGATTGTACTTTTTTTGAAAACTTTCATTTAATATACTTTTAATTAATTGAATGATATGTTCTTAATTGAACAATATGTCACTCATACGCCATATTATAGCAAATAAGCGATTCTTCCACTAATTAATAAATCTGTTTAGGTTGTTAATAACTTAAAGGCACCTTAATGTGTATGCAGATTCCGCTAATGTAATGTAATATGATGTTTTTCAAGCTAAAGGGTAAATTACATAGCGTGCGTTCAATCGGTTGGTGTTATGTCTTTACCGACTGAATACTGGTTCTATAGCTACGACCGAGTATGTTTTACCGCGCTGAGATTAGAGCCAGCGGGCATTGATTTCATAGTCGCGATCTTTATTCTTGAGTTAAAGATCCAATAACTTCTCCACGATATACGAAATGGCTTCCAACTATAAATTTCCTAGAAATTCAGACACACAGATAGACATGGTTAAACTTATTTAGAAATAAATTCTCAATCAATTATTATGTCTATTCTATTAGGTGTTCCTAGGCGGTGTGTAGATCCACACAAACTGAACATGCATTGTTTACCACTAGCGGTATAGGGTATAAAGACTTCCGACCTTACATATTTCTCAAATGAGACGAATGCGGGAAACTTGTGCAATGACTGGATCTATTATTTGAATCTTGTCTCATATTAACGGTTTTACAAGAAATAAGTCTAATTACGACAAAGTATCCTAATTTTTAATATGTCATGGCACGAATTGGAGAAGAAACGCATTTCACTTGCAAGCTTGCTGCGGTAAGTTTTGACCACACTAGTCCATTGTTAAGACCACTACCAACACAAGGATTCTTAGGATTAAAGTACGCCTTTGTAAGTTAACAAGCTTTTTTATTTTACAATGAAGGTACATAAGGAATTCTATTAAAAGTGGTGCGAGATGTGTAATAATCGGTCTGACTCGATTATTAGATTTTAAGTTGTTATACTCCATGCAGTACGTGGCATAGGTATATATTCAGTTTGTGCGGATACATGCAGCACCCAGGATGACTTGAGATGGATCTATCTTTCACTTTGCCGATCGATTCACAATCACTTTTTACATCGATCTAAGCTTGTCTGTGCACCTGCCTCTCCGTCCGTTCTTTTCTCTTTTATTCAATCTGCAGGCCGCAACTGTGGAGATATTTTTACGAAATTCGGTACATTGGCATGTTTTGGCGGAGACAGGTACCCTATCGAAACGGTTTCAGATCGGAACACTTTTTCGACTCCTTCACAAATATCGCATTATTTGGAAAAGACGTTTATATGAATAACTGTGCTACGGTCTAGAGTATTTAATAATGCGCCCTGTTTTTACTTGCTTTATTATGAGGTTACAATGCTATATTGTATACTAGAAAATAAGTCTACAGATTGTATACCAATTAATTTTATTACAGCTTTACCTATCGTAGGTTTGGAAGTTTACTAAAGAAAATTTCGAATGTATACTCTGTCAAGACTATCTGCTATAATTAATTTTAATGCAACATACATTACAATTCATATATGCAGTAGTTGACTAGAAAGCATACATACAAGATAATCAAACACCTCCATACTTGCGTAGCAAAAGGGTGTGAAAACTGTTTTTCTTATTATGGACTTCACATTTGATGTTAGGACACAAGTACTTCTAGCAGTTAATTGTGCCAATCGTTAACTAGTTTGAAGTAAAAGTGCTCGATTTGAAATTAACCCCACTTCAGCTAATCTGCGAAAACATTTAGGGGGCAACTAGAAGAAAAATAATTATTTTGTATATAGTAACTTTTTAGTTTGCTTATACAATTAAGACGTCGCGACCGTCTGTCGATGAACAAATCCGAGAATATGGGGAACGCTCGCAATATATTGATCTTCCACATTACGGACACACATTACATTGTCCGCGATGAGAAGCTCAATAAGCAAATAGCGAGATACCTTTATCTAATCCGATGCTAATAATTAAGATATACGAGTGTCACGTATGGCTTGGTAAAATTAGTATATGCCTATTCGTTGGTGAAGCATACATTATATTATGTATTAACAATGACGTAAAATGTCAATGTCAAGATTGCTTTTTTTATAGTTGCATCGGTGTGCGTATAATCACTTTTTCTTTTTTGTGAATTTTTCTCTTTTTTTTTTTTTTTTTTTTTTTAATGAATTTAAGTTCATAAGTAACTCAGAATTGATGCTGATGTTGTTATCATTAAGTTTACGTACAAACATATAAAAATAAAAATAGAAAACCCCTTTACTTCGGTCTTAATTTTATTTACTTGCTATTTGACTTCAGACACAGACCCTCGCATACCCCGACACACGCAGCTGATAATTTATGCCGATAAGGCATAAAAGCTTTACAGTAAAATTCGCGAAACACATCAAAAAGCCGTAAAAATTAAATGAGAGTGTTCTTCAAGTTTACCACGGAGCTAAGGCACTCTTCCTCACTTAATTTGCTTTCAGCTCGATTAATAACCGGCGTTTGTTTCACTCATAAAACCCCAAGGTCGGGACACTTTCACTCAGCTTGGAACTCCTGAAAAGCGCTCGTATTAGTTTTAATTTGTGTTTACTCTGCTCGAGTGCCCGAACATTTGTTCGTCTGCTGTTTGAGTTCTTGTAAGCATTTGCAATATGAAATTGAAATTCGTGACATGTATTTTTCGTTTAAAATCTATAGAGCAAAGTGGAAAGCAAGCGTGATAATCTTGCATTGACACCTATTATATAGCTAAAGTATTGAATAGGAAAATATTAATATCGTTAATAATCTAAACGATCGAACGAATCGATCTAAAATCTATTCGAATAATTTACCCGAAATCCTATAAATATGCGCTACAAGTCGACAACTATCGATCAGTGGATTGAAAAACTTACAATCAGAGGAAAAAAAGCATCTAATTATTTTTGCTATGAATTTATATCCAAGGTTCGCCGCCTCACATAGTCGTTGTAATCGCTCTTTTATGTCAAGCGTAGGGTATTTGGTGTCGTTTTGTAATTTGCATTTGCAAATTATTGAAATCAATTCATGTTTGCAGTGTATTTTCTGAAACGATACCAGTAAGCAGTTAAATGCAACTAAAGCCAAACCCGATTAATTAACCGTAAATTTGATTTTAAAGTGAAAAAAAACAAAAAAAACAAAAAAGAAACAAAATATGTATTTAGGATGGATTGCGAAAGTCCTCTTCCACGCGTTCCTTATTTTGAAAATTGCAAAACAAATGCGAGCGCACGCTTTGAAAGAGTCAGCCAATCATAAAATAGAGAAAATGCTGCTAAGTTCAATGGATGCCGATAGTGATCCCTGCGAAGATTATTATCAATACGCGTGCGGGAAATGGGGGATATTTCATGCGGTCGAAAATAAATATCACGAAGCCATCTCTCTTGTGGATTACTTTACGAACAAGGAGATAGCCCGCTATTTCAAGTTTATGAATCGTGAAGATAAGCCAAGTTTCGTATTAAAGGCTCACGATTACTTTTTATCTTGTCGAAATCTGGATATTTATGAACCGTTGGAGTATCTGAGACGGCTAAATTTTTATGAAAATTTAAATTTAAATTGGTCGTATCATAGGCGAAGACTAGAAGTAAAATTTGATTGGCTAAGAGCTTTGGCGGTAATGCGTAAATACGGTTTAAATGGCATTTTTATGGAGGAGATCACTTTACAGAGAAACGATGATGCTACCGCTACAATAATTGATCTCGATAAACCGGTAAAAAACGGTGGCTTTCATCTAACAGATTACGATGACTTAAAACTGTTAATCCAAACTTTGCGAAGGCCAATGCATCGTAAAAGCTTTAAAGAACTATGGGATCAAATCAGTGCATTTGAATTCCGTTTAAAACGTCTCGATCTTTTAGACGACCCTGAAGGGAACATATTGATAAAAGTAAAAGATTTACCAATGCCTTGGCTAAAGCGTTATTTAGAATTATTAATCGATCAATTGAATCCTGAAATGGAAATATCGATACAAAATAAACCCTATTTGCAGAAAGTGTTTAAGCTAATCAATGAATATGAGCCAAGATTTATAAGCAAATATCTTGAAATATGCTTTTTATGGCATTTAAATGTTGAAGGTCCGCCAAATTTTACATTGGAAGATTGCGCCGGCAGCACTCGAACTCTAATGCCTTATGCGATGCATTGGCTGTTCGAGCAAATGCATCCAGAATTAGTAACGGAAATGGAAGAAATTCATAAAATGTTCCAACAATTAATTAATCATTTCTCCGATTCTTTGAAAAACAATACCAATAACTTTGACTATGAACAATTGCAATTTCTATTAAATAAATTATCAAATATACAGCTAAAGATAGGCAATCTGCCCCGAGTAAATACCGAAGAAAAACTGAATGTCTTTTATAAAGATTTAGCGATGAATCCTTTTGACTTTTATGGAAATCATTTAAAATTATTGAAATTCAATACTCAGACAATGCATAAGCGTTTAAATTATAGAATACCCAGAGATGTTGATGAGTTTTTTTACTTAGAGGGATCAGAAATCGGATTTAGTTCATCACCGTATTTTGTGCAAAGAGCCAATGTGGTCATAGTACCGGTAACCTCGCTACAATTGCCCATTTATCATCCCGAGTTGGATGACATATTTAAATACTCCTCTTTGGGTTTTCTCTTGGCTCACGAAATTATACATGGCTTTGATTACACTGGCTTGGGAGTGGATTACAATGGCAATTTAAATAATCCTCAATTTGAAGGCTTAGCAAATAATACACGTTTCGGTAGGAAAATGCATTGTCTACGTTATCTAAATCCTACAATAATCGATGAAAAAATTGCCGACGTCAGCGGTTTACGTTTGGCTTATGAAACTTATTTTAAGATTCATCCAGAAGCACACGGACAAATCCGTTATATGCATGGTCGACCATATGGCTTAGAGAAAGTATTTTTCTTAAATTTTTCACAATTTTTCTGTGGTCCAGTATCGAATACTTTGGTTGATACGAAAGAGCATGGCTTAGACCGCGATCGTGTACGCGATGCCCTAAAACATTTGGACGAATTCTCGACCGTTTATTTTTGTCCACGAGGGAGCAAAATGCGTCGTGAGAAAACTTGTCAGTTGTGGCGGAGGTGAAATTCAAATAATATTAACTTTTAATTTTTAATTTATGTAAATATAATTTATAAAAGATTTTTTTTTTTTGATAAAAAGATAATAAATTATTATTAAAATTAATTTTTTTGTATCTTACAAACCATATACCACACCTACCCTACCATTCATGGGCACGAATCCATGGCGATGAAGATAGATGGTTTTTACAGTAAATGCATTCCCAGAAATGTGTTTCAAGTTACCTTTTCGAGTTACCTCTTAACAAGCAAATATTGGTGTTCTTGTTATATGCACGAAAACCGACAGTTCATGTCGGTAGCTTCGTTTAGACAAAATTGTTCTTCTTTTTTTCTTAGGCGAACATTATCATGTCATGCTTGATGACTACTTTCGAATCGAATTGGGAGCGCATTTATTCAATCAAGCAATAGCTGCAATGCAAAGGCCCTAAATAAAAGGTGAGAATTTTCATGGCACAGATATGTTCACTCATACGGCACAATTCGTGCTTAGGGGTTTTATTGGCCACTAAAATTCCCGCATTTAGTCTGGTTGTGCTATGAAATTTCAGTTGAAACGTGTTCATCATGTTGTTGAGACAAGTATACTGCAATTTTTTTTTTTTCTATAAATAATGGTCAATCTTTTATGGTCAAGGGGAGCCATACTACGCGAACAAAGTCTACTAGGAATGCCTACCAAGTCTACGATGCCCCTTGCCTGTAATTATGACAAAGTACGATTGCTTGTCACTGAACTGACGAAAGAAAGATTTTGAAGTAAATAAAGCTCGCACGAGGCTTTTCTAGTTTTAAATTAATGTAAGAAAATTTACAATAAAATGTAATACACGGAAAGAAAAAATTAAACGCTTTTTATTACTAAAGTACACAAAAAGGATCTTAAGAACAGCGAGCTGGGTTAATGTATTTATTTATCCGCATATACCGGCTTCAGCTTTAGTCTAGATTCAGCTGGATTGAAGGGTCCCTAAAGTTAAAGGCTTAGCTTGTGAAATTAATATGTACATAAAACAATAAGCAAAAAGAAAAATCATATACCCCCGCAGCTCAATCACACACTAAACAGCTGATGCACATCGACTTAGACTACATCTTGTGAACCAGTGTGAATCAATGTTAACATACCATAGCTTAGTAAAAATTTTGGCTAAATCTTTCAGCATGTTGGCAGAGCGTAGCGTGATAATAAAAATTGTTAATTTTAATTTAAGTACGACGTTAGATGCCTACGCGTATTAAAAAGAATGGTTTTAACTGAACCAATTCGATCCGATCAAATTAGATTATAAGCTTCATTTAGATTTTTGCACAGAGCTCTAAGTGGGTTGAAAGGCTCGTGGCTGAACGTGCATGGGGCAATTTTTATAAAGAGAAAATCTTTTGATGGGCGGATAGGAACAATAAAGTTGATCTCATTTTTGAAACATACGATGATCGATGACACCATTCATCAACTTTACCATGAAGGCAATACCTAAGGCTAAGGCTTCTCGAGATATATATTAGTATAGATATGTAATTAGTAACCTATTTTGATACGGTGGCAGGAGGAAATGTAGATCCCAACCTAAATTTCTTAGCGGAGAGAACAGAAAATGCTATTTGTAAAGATTCAGTTAACCTATCATGGCAAAGATAAAGAAGAGGCACTACAACCGAGGCATATTGCACTAAGCTCATACACTGTATTTTCGTTATGTGTGTCTAGCACTTAATCTAGCTTTATTTAGAAATTCTACAATATATAGATTGAATTAAAGTTTACGATCGAACAGTCCGTTTAGATTGCGAAACGAGCTCGAGATGGACTATGTATGACAATAAGAAGAGATAAACTAATATACAATAACAACAAAACATAAGTAGAAATAGGATTTAAAAATTATAATATAAAACGGGCGGGAACAAGACTAGATGTAGTGAAAAGAATTGATATATTATATCGGGTATAACCTCGACCTCTAACACAACAAATATATTTGTAATGATAAAACAACAGGTGAATGTTGTTTAAAGAATTTCATTGTCAATCCATTTTGTGATGTGCATGTGTGAAATGCCTCGAGGAGAAGTGGGCGTACCACTCATCTCACTTATTGTATACCCTTCATCCTAACAGATTTTCTTTAATTATAATCATGTAAATGAGCTGACGGAGGCTAACTGCCCTTTGCATCTCAACTTGACTCTCTTGTTTGAACAAATTTCGGATCGATATTTCGTTTACGTCTTACATTATTGATAGGTGTATTCGGGTTGTATGCTCGCATATTTGAAAGGATTTTTTATAATAAATTTGAATGTTTATGAAGAAAAGGTGATGTAAATTATTTTACTGAAGATATTGTTTTTCGCTGCTCCTTTTCTTAAACACTAACAGGGGCCTTCGAGACGAGAGGATATATCTTCAGAAATCCTCATACAGATAACTCACCAAAGAACTGCATATGTACTACATGAGCTCTCAAGTAGGCAAGTCCAGTTGCTGTACAAGAAATTTAAGAGACAGTACAATTGTATATGATCTCCGGTTTGGATCCACGACGCTCATTATTTAAAGCAAATATATGTAGAGTTCAAAACTCTTGTTAGCAAATATTTAGAGAACTGTTACAGCAAAAGCACGTTGAATTAGGACACAGGCATAAAAATATTTTCATTAGTTTTAGCATGGATAGCATGGATAGCATAAACAGAAGACGAGGAAGACATATAATGTATAGTAATTTATTTATACATGGGGTCATTCATTGTACGCTTCCGAAAGTAAACGTGTACAAAAATAACGTGTGGGTGTGGGTAATGGGCTGAAAGTGAACATGAAAATGCCATTTTAATTACCATCAATGGAAAACTGATTGACTGACTTTTTGTGGCAGAGATTAGATAATTTCGGCTTGGAAGGTATGTGGCTTCAGCAAAATGTATCAATATGCCATACGTTTCGTGACAACATCAGTTTATTGGGAGGAAAGTTCAACGATCGTGTAATCTTCAAAAATGCCTACGTGAGCTTGCCCCAAAGATCATGGGATATAACTCTATTCGACTTTTGCGGTTATCTTTGAGCATTGACTTACTTCAATAACTCACGAACTCTCAATGATCTTATTCGTGTTATTGGTGAAATAGGCGCAAATTTATTTGAAAGGTGGCAAAAATGTAGGATTGAATTTTTACGGAAGCTCTATTCTATTCTAGTTTTTGCACTAGTGACGAACAAGCACAGTTTCTTTTGTACCTATCTCGTTGACTGCTTGATTGTAGTTAAAGAACAATCAATGCTTGCGTTGACCTTCTATACGTTTTCACTGCTATGCTGCTTAGGTTCGCACAATGCATATAATTGTGCACTTATGTAAGCCAGTGAAAATGCCCACGCATTTCGGAGTAATAAATTTGTATATATTGCATGACAGAATTGAATAATAGAATTAGTAGTTGTGCATGGAAATGTGCTGATAGTAATGATGTTAGTAGGGCAAGTTACGTCTATGAATATATATAACCTGCTCCTTATGTGGCGATGATCAACTAACAAAAACTATATGATCATTAATGGACGAACTATGTGTGGTTTCAGTGTATTCCGAGACACCGGTTTGACATAAGAACAATCGAATTTCAATTCGCTACAACGAAATCAAATGGATCCGTTTTTGACAATGCCTTATCGCAAATAACTTAAAGGGTTCGGCAAAGGTTAGGAGAGGGTAATTGGAAAGTTTTCATACATCTACCGGATAGTTTCACTCCCGCCATGTTCAACTGTTGTTTATCTTGTTTTTTGAAGAACGTTCTCAACAGTCTGAGGCTAGCTTCATCGGAAGGCTATGAAAGCCGCTTGATTAAATTTTTTGTCCAGGAATGTCAGAAGCTCTATCATGGTGTGAAATATTATCAATTAAAAGTTGCAAATATTTAGTTGATTACAGCTCACTTAAATAATAACATACATATCAAATTTTAGCGAAAAAGAGCTCCAAGACTTGCCTTAAGCATCAGACCTATGGTAGAACTATCAGTCGCATAAACGAACAGCTGATAGTTCATTCTTTCTCTCTTGTAATCGACATCTCGCAAGCTTTCGATAAACTATCGCAAGAAAGATTTCAGTTCACTTCCCTAATTCAGCACATTAGATCCCGTTTTCTAGATAGTTATCCACTGCCGATTCGCCGACTTTTCGTATCAGCAATAGGTACACCTTTGCAGAAGATATTGTCATCATTATTACGCACCAAAGCCAACAGCATCCACTATCCCTCAAATTCATTTAAACCTCCCATTAAACGGGTTTGAAAACGCTACGATTAAAATAAAGCTTCTAAATGCATGCATGTATCTTTAATTCTAAGGAAGAAGTATATGCAGCTATATAACTATTAACAGCTATAAAACAAAATTCAAAAAAAAAAAATAAAACTCATCTGGACGTGTTGCCGAATTATGAGGCACAGCATTTACTTCCAGTGTTGCCAAAATACAAACAACATAGCCCAAAACGTTCCGCTTGTTAATAGTTGGCTCGTCGTCGTGTGAGTGCCATAGCGATGTACTAATTCTAATGGTATAGAAAAGTATAATTGGGAAATACACAAAACATGCAAACAAATATTATTTCCATCCAAACTGTATAGGTCAGTCTTGCAATCACATATTTATCAACTAGTGGTGGACGGAAAAAAACGATCTAACTGAAGCATTCTTGTTTTCTTACTTTAATAAATATTTACTCCTGTAAGAAGTACAAGCGTTCGAGATTAACTGTTCTCCTCTTCATTTTCGTGGATTTTTTCTTCATTCGTAGAAATCAAGTTATTGAAATTGGTTCTTAGGTCTATCTAGTGCCATGGGCGGCAATGAACGAATAGATATGCCTTCCGGACAAATCCTTCTGACAACGATCGCTTTAATTTAAGCCGAACCCAGGTTTTAGGTAATGTCGAACAATTGCAAATGCTTAGTCTTCTTTAGGAACTTACTTAAAGTAGG